AAATTATGGAAATTACCAAGGAATTTCAAAAGAATGGGCCCGTTCACTTTCATTTTTGAATGTGAATTAATTATATATTTATAAAGATATTAAACTCTTTTGTCTGGTGGTACTTTTCCCGTTAAGATATGTTTGCTAGAAGTAAGGGAATTCCCATAAAATTCTTTCAGTGACTCATTGCGTCAGAAAATCCCTATTTCCGTTCACGTCTCGTATCGGTTATGCTTAAAGACGGCGGGGTTGTCGGAAGTATCCCTAATATACCATTTCTGCATTTATATATGTAATTTAAATAGTAAAATTCCATTATTTTTCTATTTATTGTTATATTTTCAGATTTAAAGCTGGGAGCTTATTTTTTTTTTAATTAAAACAATTATTATTACTCAGGCTGAAAATTAACCAGACCATAATCAAAAAGTAGAAATTTGATTTGCAATATTTATCTGGTAAACGTGGCAACGTTGCATTTATTTCTAGAAGTGTGTGTAGACAACACTATTTAGAAGTACTTTCAACGTTGTCACGTTTACCAGATACATTTTCTCAAATAAAATTGCGATCTGGTAATATTCAGCTTGAGTAATACTAATTGTTTTTATTAAAATTTAAAAAAGGTAAGGCTTCCAGCTTTATCTGAAAATATAAACACATTATTTTAAAAAAATAATATATTTTTATAATGTAAATTTCTTTAATAAATGCAGAAGAGGGATGGTGGTGCAATGATACATCCGACAACCGCGCCCTTTTAACTATTAACCGATACGAGACTTGAAGGGAATTAGGGATTTTCTGACGCAATGAGTCACTGAAAGAATTTTATGGGAATTCCCTTACTTCTAGCAAAAATATCTTAACGGGAAAAGTACCACCAGACAAAAGAGTTTAATATCTTTATAAATATATAATTAATTCACATTCAAAAATGAAAGTGAACGGGCCCATTGAAAGATTATTTTAAAGAAATTGGGGAATTAGGTTACAAGGGTAAGCAGTTGACAGGAATTTACAGATTTGGAGGAATTTATAAGTATTGTGGGAATTATTAGGGAATTGTGGAAATGTACACGAAATCACGGAAATTGTCAATAATGGGAAACTAAATAAAAAATGAGCGAATTTGTGGGAATTACCAGAGAAGTGTACAATGAATTGTCAGAGAATTATGGAAATTACCAAGCAATTTCTAAGAAATTTTGAGAAATTTCAGAAAAATTGAGAGAATTTTAAAGAAATTAGGGAATTAGGTTAGAAGGGTAAGCAATTTACAGGTTTAGGGAAATTCATATCATAAAATTGCGAAAATGTACAGGAAATTACAGGAAATTGACAAGGAATTGCTGAAGAATATTGATGAATTTCAGAAGAATTTTAAAGGAATTGGGGATTTCATAATACAGGAGAATTAGATGTACAGGAAATAAGTGAAATTGTGACAATTGCCAGATAATTGTGGGAATTACCAGAGAATTGTGAAAATGTACAATAAATTGTAAAGAAATTACAGAAATTTCCAACGAATTATGGAAAGTGCTAAAGAATTTCCAAGGAATTTTGGAAGAATTGAGCGATATGAGAGGAATTACCAGAGAATTGTAGACATTTATCGATAAAATGAGAGATAATTTTAAAGAATTGCATAGTAAAAGGAAATTACATGTACAAATTTTGACTTCCTGTTTACCACAGGAGAAAATTCATTGGAAAATGAATTGGTTCCTAAAAATTCACTTGTTCCTTCAGAATGCAGTGATTATTAAATTCTTGGAACAGTCTAATTCATCTGCAGTTATTATTTCCAATTTAAAGAATTTTATCCCAAGAGTGTGACATAGAAAAAACTTTGACAACTTGTTTTCTGCACTAGTGCAATAAAACATTGAATATCAAATTAAATATCAAAAAATTTTCATTATACATTACACTACTACGTAATTAAAAAAAATACGTAATTTAAAAATATTTTTGGACATACAGGGTCAACATTTTTTTCGTCAATTTTTTTGGATCATTTTGCTCTATCTCTTGCCGTTTCCGAGATATTCGCGTTTGAAGTTTTTCAACTTACACGGCCGAAGATAGAGACGAACGGTATAGAGCTCTCTAATATATATGTCCTGTTTTACATTTGTTTATTAAACAATTTCAAAATGAATGTAAACCTACTCAAATTATGAATCATTTATTTTTGGGTCTGCATAATTCTCTAATTTAATGAAAAAAATAATTATTTGGTAAGCCTGTAATATTTTTTAAAAAGAATTCTAGGATTGAATATAGTATTACCAAACCATTCTAAAAATGAAATAAAATATAATTTTTATTCGCCAGGCAAAAACGCAACATCCTGTAAGTCCAAAAATATTTTCAAAATATGCATTTTTCAAATACATATAAGTTTTATTTTAAACTTGTTTGCGTGTCTATAATTCAATTTGAAATATTGAACCATTACGCATTAATGGGAAACCCTGTATACATTACATTTGGAAAAGTGCGTAGACAACAAATTTATTTATTAAGTTTACAAAAAATATATATATATTTCTTATGAAAAGCTCTGCATTAGTTAGAAATAAATAATCAAGAATCAAATTTGTAAAATATTTAGTGATAATACAGGGAAAATCAAAAATATTGATATTTTGCTAAAAAGTGCTTTTAAATTTAATGAAAGAAAAAAATGTTGATAAGAATTAAAAATGGACTTTTAATGATAAATTTATACATTGAAAGTAAAAAATAATATTCTTCATTATTAATTTCCAATTAAAACAGAACCTTTTATGAAAAACAATTATTTTCCTTTTGTAAAATTAATAAGAAATAAATTTCTCATTGGTCACCAATTTTTTCATAATTGTAGAAAAAACGGCGATGTTATCCAAATATCTTTAACACGTTAAGCGCCACAGTAGATTTGAAACCGTTAATACTTCCTAAAAGAAATGTCAGCAGTGAGAGGCGGCCTAAAGTGCCAAATATTATACCTCATGGCGCTTAATGTGTTAAATTGCTTTGATGAAAAGCCAAAAGGGATTTCAAATATCCAGCGTGTGTAATATTTTTGATATAATTTTTTATGGTACATCTACGAATATTAAAACTAGTTGATCTGTTTGCACGAAGCTGCCATTGCTGTAACCTGCATAATAAAACAAGTAATTGGTAGTAAAGTTTGGGAGAATTATTTTCAAACAACAGTTATTTCACACAATAAAATCCGATGAAATTATACTACCAACAAAATAATAAAAAATATTTGTTATTATTAATTAACTTGTAGAAATATAACTAAAAAGTATATTATTTGTTTTAATAAATTATATAGATGGGAAATTAAAAAATAACAATTTAATAAAAATCAAATATAATAGTCATTTATCACTGATTTAAATCAAATAATTAATTCACAATAGTAAAAATATTCTAACAAACAATTACAATGCATTTGGTTGTATAAGAAAAACATTTATAAAAAATAAAATACTAATATCCATTTAAGCATTACACTTAAAAAATCTATGAATTTTTGGAAATTTCCACAAACTTTTACTTAATTAAAAATTCACAATGGAGTTCTACAATATCTATTGCCAAAGTATTTGTGCAAAAATGAACAATTCCTAATAGTACAGTCAATTTGTTAAAAAAAAAAAGATTAACTAGAAAATTTACTACCTAAAAGCAGTTCTTTGACAATATCTCTTTTCCGATTCAATTCACGATAAAAACGTTTATATACAAAATGAAACTATAGAAAATTTTCTACAATTTGTAATACTCATTTTTCGTAAAATCAATAGTTTTTGCGTACGAGCGCCGCAAACTATACGGTAGTAGAAGTAAGAGTAGCATGATTGTAAGTAACTGTGAAAAGATACAGGGAATTACAGAAATTGACAAGGAATTCCTAAGAAATTTTGAGGAATTCTAGAAGAATTGACATACATTTAAAAAAACTGGAAAATTACAAGGGTAGGGAATTGACAAGAATTAGGAAAATTGCCAAGGAATTATGGAAATTGCCAAGGAATTGCTTAAGAATTTCAGAAAGATTGCCTAGGAATTAAGAAATAATTTTAAAGGGATTGGGAAATTTGATAATAAAGGGGAATTAGATATACAGGAAATGAGAATTGTGGGAATTATCAGAGAATTGTGGGAATTGCCAGAGAATTGTGGAAATGTACAGTGATTTGTTAGGGAATTAAAGAAATTGACAGGGAATTATGGAATTTCTAAAGAATTTTTAGGAATTTTAGAAGAATTTAGAGATAATTTTAAAGAAATTGAGGAAATGGATAATAAAGAGAAATTAGATATACAGGAAATGAGTGAAATTGTGGGAATTATCAAAGAACTAAGGAAATTATCAGAGAATTGTGGGAATTATTAAAGAATTATGAAAATTTCCAGAGAATTATGGAAATGTACAGTGAATTATTAGGGAATTAAAGAAATTGACAAGGAATTATGGAAATTACAAAGGAATTTCTAAAGAATATTTAGGAATTTTAGAAGATTTTAGAGATAATGTTAAAGAAATTGAGGAATTGGATAATAAAGAGAAATTAGATATACAGGAAATGAATGAAATTGTGGGAATTACTAGATAATTGTGGAAATTATCAGAGAATTGTGGGAATTATCAGAAAATTGTTGGAATTATCAAAAAGTTGTGAGAAATGACAGAGAATTGTAGAAATGTACCGTGAATTGTCAGGAAATTAAAGAAATTGACAGGAAAATTTGGAAATTACCAAGGTATATCTAAAGAATTGAGAGATAATTTTAAAAAAATTGGGGAAATAGGTTACAAGGGTAAGTAATTTACAGGTTTAGAGGAATTTATAAGTATTGTAGGAATTATCAGAGAATTGTGAAAATGTACAAAGAATCATGGAAGTTGCCAAGGAATTACTGAAGGTTTTTTTAAGAGTTTCAGAAGAATTGTCTAGGAATTAAGACATAATTTTAAAGGAATTGTGGATTGGATAATAAAGGGGAATTAGATATACTGGGAACGATCGAAATTATGGGAATTATCACAGAATTGTGAGAATTATGGGATTTAACAGGGAATTATGGGAATTATTAGAAAATTGTGGAAATTACCAGATAATTATAGAAATATAGACTGAATTGTCAAGGAATTATGGAAATTTTATGGGAATCCTGAGGAATTTCAGAAGAATTAAAAGATAATTTTAAAGAAATTGTGGAATTAGGTTACAAGGGTAGGAAATTGACAGGTGTTATGATCATTTCAGATCTAGAAATAGTGCCCATAGCTGTACATGGTAGAAATAAAAGCATAAGAGTAAAATATTCGATTAATAGAAAATAATCGATAAATCAAAAATAATCGATTAATCAATATATTCAAAAATATTCGATTAATCGAAATAAATCAATAAATAAAAAAAAAATTGATTAATTGAAAACACTTTTGGGCCCGCCCTCGTATACAAAAAAAGGTTTTTACATAAATTGTAGGACATTTTCTGTACTTTCATTTTGTATGCAAACGTTTTTATCGTGAAATGAGTCTGAAAGGAAATATTGTTCAAAAAAAAAATGTAAATTTTCCGACGTAAACTGATGTTTAAAAATGAGTTTTCATAGATTTAATATTTTTTTTAATATTTTTGATTAATTGAAAAAATCAAATAATCGAGTGATCGAAAATAATCCAAAATAAACGAAAATAATCGAAAAAAAAATCGAAAATAACTAATAATAATCGAATGATTGATTAATCGAAAATAACCGATTACCAATTATTAAAAAAAAATTGATTAATCGATTATAAATCGATTATTTTGTCTATTCCTGCTCATTGCTAGTAAACAATTGTCACAATACATCAAAGTGGGATATTTTTTTCAAAATATTTGAATATTTACTTATTTTTCCAATAGATCATAAACTTAAAATATATAAATATATCTTAATATTTATTTCAAGTCGTTTATTTTGTATATCCCTTTTTTCAAAATTCTACTCAAAAATAAATATTTAGAACTCCACAAAAAAAAAGAAGAGATAAATAACAATATATAACTCTAATAATAAAAAATGTAGTTTAAAAAAAATCTTAGTTTTTGCATTTCAATATGAAACATTATTTTCGTGGTTCGAAAGGTTACACACAGAATGGTCTATTTTGTGAAATAACTGATATTCTATTAACATTGTCATTCCTCTTTTTTATCATTTCGATAACAACAACACAAAATAAAGACCACAGTCGCCCAGCTCGTACTTCCTCATTTTTAACATTCATAATATATATATAACATAATATATAATATAGGTAAACTTAATAACTAATAATAAAGTTTATCAATAAAACTAATAATTACACATAATATTACAGAGCTGTTAGTTAGTCCATCACCACAGTTAAGCTACACGTACTCTACTGTTAACACGTTTGTTTTAGTGCTGTGCACACGCTCACACTCACGCAATCGACCCGATCATTCGAAGAAAGCTATTTAAGACTCCTTAGCCTAGATTTTTAGGATGCCCTTGAATCCCCTCGGAGGCACTCCCTCGTGGAATGTGTATCATAAAAAAATCCAAAAATTCAACATTAACATAAATAAAAAAAAAACAACGAAGAGAAGAAGAAAAAAAAACGGTATGGAGAGCGTGGGGCTGTGGCCTGAGGTCTATCTTATTACAAAAATATGTAGTTTGCTCTTTGTACTTCGAAAAGGCATCAATGTCAACAACAATTATGAGATTTCCTGTAACCTATATACAGAGTGTAAGCCGGTATTGCACACAGATATGGTAACGTGGAGACGAACGGGACGGCCGTTATTTCCTCTTGGCGTGCAGCATTTCCATGAGGAGCGTTTGCGTGGGGGCGCTGCCGTTGCAGTGTTTGTGGTACAGGTGTTCTTCTCCTCGCGCCGCAAGGCTGTGGATTTCGGGCAGAAGTTGCTGCATCTTATGGAACTTGTCCTGAAATCAATTGATACGTTAGTTTGCGAGTAATTTATTTTTTATAGTTACTAAATAGTTATTTTTAGACCCGTGTGCTATCAAAGCCTTCGTGGGGGCTCCACGAAAATAAATAGCCATAATAAAAAAAAAATAGTAAAGGAGTACTATGAGGAAGTTCGTCACTAAAGAGAGGACACCTGGTTTAAGGACTTAAAGGAACTGATTTTGCTTGAGGACTTTTTTTAAGAAATGCTCTGAGGCTGCAAAGTAATAAAACCTATCTAAACCAATATAAAGTTCAAATATTTCGCTTTTCAAAAGGGTTTCGTCGCCAAAAAAGTTTGTGAAACACTGTTTTAAACTATGGAATAAATAAATTAATACCACATAAATTTTTTATTTGATTCTAGAGTGTCTAGTATCGGCATCAAAGCCATCATCTAAAATCCTATTCTATAGTAAGAAATGGAATCCGGTCCTGTAAATCTCGAAGCTAAAAGATACAAATATATTTATAGATGAAGATTATGTGAAATAATTTCAAGAACAGCCAAAAATACTAAGAAATTATGAGAGAATGAAATTACCAAGAAATTTTGAGGAATTTCAGAAGAATTTTGAGGAATTTCTTCTGAATTGATTGAATTTTAAATGAAAAGGGTAAGAAATTTACAGAAATTCATAGATATTGTAGGAATTATCAGAGAATTGTAGAAATGTACAGGAAATCAACGGAAATGTTCAAGCATTTGCTAAAGAATTTTGAGGAATTTTAGAAGAATTACTTAGGAATTAAATAATTTTAAAGGAATTGGAGAGTTAGATAATAAAGGAGAATTAAATATATGGGAAATGAGTAAAGTTGTGGAAATTACCAGAAAATTGAAGAAATTATCAGAGAACGGCGGAAATTACCACATAATTGTGGGAATTATGGAAATTACCAGAAAATAGTGGAAATGTACAATGAAATGTCAAAGAATTGACAAGAAATTTGAAAATTGCCAAGGGAATTCCTAAGGAATTTAAAAGGAATTGGAGAATTAGGTTATAAGTGTAAGAACTTTACAGGTTTAGAAGAATTCATAGATATTGTGGGAATTATCAGAGAATTGTGGAAATGTATGGAAATTTCCAAGGAATGGTTGAAGAATTTCGAGGAATTTCGAAAGAAATGCCTAGGAATTAAGATCAATAATTTTACAACAAATTACAATAACATATATATAAATGATAAGATATATACAGTAGAAGATATAGATTACAAAAAGACAACAGCACGTCTAACAAATAACCAATGGAAAGAGAAAAGGCTGGAAGAACATTCAGCAAAAGATCACCGGACAAGGACGCGGAACAGTATGAAAAAACTAGCAAACAATATAGAAAAAGAAAAGGAAAACGACTTGACAAAGAAACTGGTCAAGAAACAAAGTCTCATGAAAATAAAGTAGAGAATGCTGAAAGAAAAAAAGATAAAGAAAATAAAAATAGAAGAAAATTCAAAAATAAATTGAAAATAAGTACCTGGAATATTAAAACAATGTTAGAACCTGGAAAAATGCAACAAATATAAAAATAACTCAATAGATATAACATAGGTGTTGCAGCAATTCAGGAAATAAGATGAAAAAGCAAAGAAACAATTGAAAAAAAAAGAGGATTTATTCTGGGAAATTTAATCAGTGAACTAAATTCAAATATTTCAACATTTTATTAAATTTCTCGAATACAGATCATTTGAGTAAAATTTTTTATAGAACAAAAATTGTAGATACAACTCTTATTTGAAGAATTTTCTTCTTCAAGCGTAAACAACAGATATATTCCATATAGTAGAAAAACACCCCCCATAAAGTACTCACCATATATTCCGACCTTGTCCAAAATTAAATCATAGAATGGATTAAAGCTGAAATTTAAAATTTGGTGTTTTTCTCTTTATCCGTGTTTGAGTTTTCTTCAAAATTCATAATTTGTATTTTTTCTTAAATATCTCGAATAGAGAAATTATGTATAGTACAAGAATTAAAAAGAAAGACATCACAAACAACTTTTATTTGAACAATTATCTTAAAATTTTGAATTTTGCAAAATATGTGATACCGTACTATATTACCTTGATGGAGGGAGGATCTTACTTTTTAAAGTGGGTTCTGAAACTTCATATAGAAAGAAAAACACAAGAGAAAATTTGGCGAAGTTTGAGTGTAGAGAATATAAATAAGAGTAACCAAAATCATATCAAACAGTTAAACCTAGTTGCCAAAATATTTGAATCTTACAATGACAGAATGGTTTTTTACCTACATCTGTATTGAGATCTATATTATGTCATTGTGAATCCCCAATATTTTGGTAACCAGCCGTCACTTATAAACTATAAAAACTAAAATAATAAGACCTACATAAACAAAAACGAGATCGAATTAGGATTTGAAGCCATAAATCAAGATAGATACTATCAAGATATATCAAGATATATCAAGATATATCAAGATATATCAAGATATATCAAGATATATCAAGATATATCAAGATATATCAAGATATATCAAGATATATCAAGATATATCAAGATATATCAAGATATATCAAGATATATCAAGATATATCAAGTTATATCAAGATATATCAAGATATATCAAGATATATCAAGATATATCAAGATATATCAAGATATATCAAGATATATCAAGATATATCAAGATATATCAAGATATATCAATATATATCAAGATATATCAAGATATATCAAGATATATCAAGATATATCAAGATATATCAAGATATATCAAGATATATCAAGATATATCAAGATATATCAAGATATATCAAGATATATCAAGATATATCAAGATATATCAAGATATATCAAGATATATCAAGATATATCAAGATATATCAAGATATATCAAGATATATCAAGATATATCAAGATATATCAAGATATATCAAGATATATCAAGATATATCAAGATATATCAAGATATATCAAGATATATCAAGATATATCAAGATATATCAAGATATATCAAGATATATCAAGATATATCAAGATATATCAAGATATATCAAGATATATCAAGATATATCAAGATGTATCAAGATATATTGAGATATATCAAAATATATTAAAATATATCAAACTACATCAAGATAAGATAATTTTGTTTTTGAATTAAAAAATCTTACCTGAACTTGTGGGTAACATGTCACCGTGTATTCGAGTAAAGCTTGTTGAACTTGTTCGTAGCCTTCTTGTACGTGCTTTCGATTGGTTATACCTCGTACATCAGCTAAAAAAAAAAAATACAACATAAATAGTAAATAAAATTGCAATTAATTAAATAAACCACTTTTTTGCGAATTAAACGATATGATAGGTACTACCAGCATTACAAGAATTTGCTTTTAGATACTTGTTCATGTACCATGACTCATTTATTGTCCTTTTCGTAATAATTGAGGTTGTAACAACAACCACCGCGTGAATAGTGGGTGTGGTTTAATTACATTTTCTAGCTTAGAATGTGACTTTAATTAGAATTAGATTGAATATCGTGATACCGGTATCCATTTTGGTGGATAAAATAATTATTTACTATGATCTATGATGTTGGTTTTATAATAAGTTTAAATACAAATTATAGACATTTATGCTAGTGAGGTTTTGGAAAATTTATTTAGTAAAATTTAAAAAACTGGTTATCTATATTAAGGGCTTAACATCCAAGGGCTGGTAAATTAAATGGAAAAAACATGAGGAAGGTAATTTAATACTAGTCCAATTAACAGGATGGCGTTCGTATCGAAATGACAGTCCTCAGTTCGTGCAAAACTTCAAGAATTTAAAATGGCTATTGTAGTTAAAGATTCATTGAATTTTGACTAATCTAGATATATTTTTCAATATCAAACCAACCAACATTTTTGCCCAGCTAGCAGAAAATTAAACTTCAAAAAGTTCACCTCTAGCGACCATATTGAATTTAGTACCACTCCAATTTGATAGATGGCAACACACATCGCCTCAGAATACCCAAAAACATTCACCAAAAATCAATGGGTTCAAAATTAAAATTGTCAAATTTGATTAATCAATGATCTGAAATTGGAAATTGTTTAGGATTCACGTTTTGAAAATAAAAAATAAAAAAAAAAAAATAAAGGTTTTTAATCAGAAAATATTTTTAAGATATTAAATTGTTGGGAAATAGAAAGAGATATATACGAGGGTCATTCAATATAATTTTAAAACTATTCAATGAATGTGTACAATCTTTTCAGGGGTGTTAATTGACAACCTTGGATTATGCTCTGATCAGCTGTTTCATCATTTTATGTCAACATAACCTTAAAATTTTCAATTCATCATGGCAAGTCCACTAGAAGATTGCACCTTAGAAGAGCAGCGCTCAGTCATTAGATTTTTAGTCACAGAAGATGTAAAACCAAGTGAAATTTTTTCTAGACAGTTGATACAATATGGTAAAAATTGTATGAACCGTGCGAATTTTTACAAGTGGTTTGATCGGTTTAAAAGTGGCCGAACAAGTGTAGGTAATGAACCCTGATGCGGACGTCCAGTGGATGTGTCTATTTTCCAAAAACGTTAATTGAAGAGCAAAAAAAGAAAGAAAATGGAATTAAAAAAACCATTAAATGAAATGTGACGCTTAACAAGAAACCAAAACACATTGAAAAGAAAATCATCGACATTAATTGAAAAATCGATGTTAACATCGGATAAAAAAACTCGATGTTAATTAATAACATCATATTCAAAAACATCGATGTTGAACATCGATAATCGAAACCTAAAAATCGATGTTTTTTAAACATCGATACGATACATCGTGCGTATCCCTAGCAGAAAAGTTGGGAACAAATTAAGAGTAGGGTTGGAGTAATAAGAGTAGATAGACATCGTGAGACAGTGGCGTAGCTAGAAATTTTTCATGGAAGGGGTTTCAAAGAACTATATAGGGGGCTCTATCAAAAAAATGAAATATTTCAGTTAAGAATGTTTTTATTAAAAAATGTAAATAAAAATGGGATTTTTTTTATAAAAAGTCAAAAAAAGCGAATAAAAACAATCAATAGAGATCAACGCCAATATTATGACGGAAACGGTGTCGCGAAGATCCTCCATGGAGGGGTTATAATTTTTTATTTATGTAATTTTACTTTTATTCATTTTTATTTACTTTTTAATTTATTTATTTTTGTGAAAATCCAAAATTCAGAAATACCTCATTATTTATATATGATGAGTAGCTACAATTCCAATTTTCAAATCGATACTGCCATATCTATAAACTTCCAACCCCCTGTTACCCCCTTAAAATGTAAAAATCAAAAAATTTTGAAATACGTCATTATTTATTTTTGATGAGTAGCTACAATTCCAATTTTTAAGTTCATACCTTTAAAAAAATCGAAACTTTTATAGGTACCTACAAACTTTCGCCCCCCTGTTTCCCCCCTTAAAATGTAAAAAAACAAAAATTTTGAAATATGTCATTATTTAATTATGATTATAATACAATTCCAATTTTCAAGTTCTTACCCCCATTTGTCCCCTCTCAAAATGTAAATATTAAAGGATTAAGGATAAGGGAATGATGAAAGAATATAAACGATTTTTAAAGGTAACTTTTTAAATTATTTTCCTCTAGATTATTGATACTGTGAAAATAACCTGCGTATCCTGAAGATTCATTAAATAATTCATTTTTTTTTTACAATTTAAATGTCTTAAATTTGTCAGGATAGATAATTATTATAAACAATAAATATCATATCAATAAATATAATTATAACTTGATTTTAGAACACTGAAAGCCAGGATATATTAAATATTATTTATCCACTGAAATTTTTCCTTTTAAATATCAAATAGCTTTTTCTTAGTGGGCCAGGACATATTAAATATTTGTCCATGGAAATATTGCTTTTTAAATAACATATTGTTAAAAATCAGCGAATTATAATACCGCCGCCACTGGGGTCGACGGTACCACATCGCGCCCGTTGCAATATCCAACAGAACGGACACACTTGAATTTTAATCGGGCGAACGAAAGCAAGTAGGCATTTATGCCCGTTAAATACATTCTTTATTTTGTTTTTTATTTAATTAAATTTTAAACCGGGTTTAAGAGATATTTAATAAAACATAAAAACATGTCAGCACGTATTTTGTGAAGTGGCTATACAGTAAACAGATAGATAAAACATTTTAAAACAATAATTTAATTCGGTTAACTTCTAACAATATGATTTTTACGAATAATATTCTACTAGGACATTGATTCTTACCTGGATTAAGCAGCAACATAAATTTTATACAGATATAATCGCTGACATCAAATTTCAAATCTTGCAATTTAACCGTGATATCATTGAAATGATCCGCTAGACTCGGTACTCCCAGCAATCCCAAATTGAGAAGATCGAACTTCTGGCCGTTGTGAAGGGTGGTTTCGTCGGGGAGATTGTTGTGCATTCGCTGGTGTATATGGTCAAGCACCAACATGTCCGACCACGAATGTTGGAGGAGTTTCATCTGATCGTCCACCTACAATAAAACAATAAATAGTAAAATCTAATATAGCTTCATTTTCGTGTTCATATATACGGTTTAAGAATCCTGGTAATTTATGGTGATGGTTTTGATATTGTCTAGGAAGCAGGTTTGTACGAATGGGCAACTAAGAAACAAAACAAAACATATTAGACTAAAATGATAAAATAAAATGATATTAATAATAATTAATTTTCTAGGTTAGGTAAGAGAAGATTTTCTAAGCTAAATACTCCAAACTACACCTTCACTAACTCTAATATGTTATATTTCGGCCTCGTCTCATAAAACAAAACTTCTCTCTTCGTATGTGATTCCAGTGTTCCGCTATCATATTTAGATCATTCTTTTAGTGTTAGTTCAAAAGAGCAAAAATTAATAAGCATCTAGAATGTTTCAACACGTCATGAAATCAAAAATATTCGGTGATATATTTCTATAAGGATATCGGTGACAGAAATTTAGAAGAATTTTCATAAACGAAGACTGTGTTAACAATCAATAGCGTTAAGTGACAGTACAGCGTCAGTAGAGCGTCTTCGAACATAAACAAAATATTAAGTACTTTTTCAGTTTGAGTTGGTTCAGAAACACTAAAATTATTTTAGAGAATGGTCAAACGTCAAACCATAATTTTAAACCTTTATGGATATTTATTATGCCCTTATATCGATTGAACATTTTTTTGAACTAGAAATTGGATTGGAAAATGTTTTCTTTGAATTTTTAACCCCTCTGTGGTCTTTTAAGATATTTTAGGCTATTTTAAAGCTGTCATTTTTAAATTTTTTAATTTTAGTTTATATTTTAATACGTCATATTATTATTAGGATAATACTAATTAAAATACTAACCTCTACATATTTAATTAAAATATTTTGGAGCAAACCTATTTACAAAATTAATAACTATCTTCTAAATCTTATTAGATTAATCTATTTATAAATGTTATATTTGTCCCTTATTCTATATTGTTAAAATTGTATGTTTACATTTTATTGTTTAAAACTGTAAAGCTTGCTCATGACAGATGATCAATTATTAGTCCACGTACAAGCTTGTCTTTTGTGGATGATTTTCTCATTTGCCATGAAAATGTTATACTAATTTAATTAATTGTACTTATTTGGTAAAATAAAATATATAGGTACGTAATTTTAAACGTTTTTCGATCCTATTGTGCCTTTCTGACCATTGATCTATCTTTTAAATTTAAAATTCATCTCAGACCTCTTGTTTTTCTATAATTTACCTTCTTTAAAATATTTTAAGAGATGTTAAAAAAATCAAAGAGTCAAAAATTGGTTAATCTTATGGCGCAGTGTTTAAAAATATTAACATTGGAATCAATCATTCAAAGCGATACAAGTATTCAATACTTCTTTTTTATTTTATTTATATGATTCATATGTAATTTATTATTGAATTATTGAATAAAGTTATATTATTATTAATATCCGGCAACAAGAAGTAATTTAATGACCTAATTAGACACCCACGAGTAACGAAAAAAAAAAAAAATTAATAAAATAACCAGAGAAACAATAGAGACCTCAGTTGCATTTTTCGCAACAATTTTCCGCTACAACCGATTCCCTGCGGCCCTGTACTAAAACTGAAAAAAAAAAGATCGTTATCTTCGTTGTTCTGGAAGGCTGTAAAAATGTCAGACTGCGTCATTGTTTGAGAGAATAAAAGCATTTTATATCGCTTACTGCAATAAAGTGACTCATCGCATTGGCTGAACAAAGATAGATAGTGCCACGCTCCGCACTCTTCTGAACTTGGCCTAAATTTCGCGGCGGTTTTCACTTTCGATTATTTGTTCATTTTACGTAATCTCGATACACACACACAATGTGTTTTTTATATTATTATTCTCACGTAATGGATTTTTACTATACACATAAAAATTATTGTTTTAAAAAAGCATTAAATTTTTTACAGTTTAATGATAAATAAGATTGTTCATAACTTTGATAGGTATTGGTTATTTATTGGTGTGAATGATCTCATACAGAAAAAAAATACAGAAAATACTGTCCTAAAAATCATAAAATTGTATACAGGGATCGGCATAGGTCTGGCAACACTAAAAGTTTTTTCATACATCGGTACTGATACCTATATTCTGTCACTGTGAACCCCCAAAATTTTGGCGACGAGCCGCCACTGCGTCAATGCATTGATCAAGATGGGCAACAATTTGAACACTTAAACTAACCCTTTTTCGAATTCTTTTTGTAATTTCTTCGAATAAATTCATTTTGACGGTGCATTTTTTTATGCAAATTTGTTACCTGACTTATGCCGACCCCTGTATAAACTGATCGAGAGAAGTTAAAAATATAATACCAATCTTTACAAAAATAAAATCTACGTTTTTGACGACGGATTTTTACGTTTTGGGGTCCCCTGAACCTGTTTTGACTATTTTCGCGATAATGTTAGTGTGTGAGTGTATCTATAACTTATGAACGTATAAAGAAAAACGCCAAATTTTAAACTTAAGCTTTAATTCATCCTGCGGTGGACTGATTAGATTTTGGACATAGTCGAGATATCTGGGGGGTACTTTATAGGCGGGCCGTTTTTCTACTTTATTCAATATATCCGTTGTTTACGATTGGAGAAGAAAATATTTTAAATAAAAGTTGCTTGTAATGTTGTTTTCTATAATTTCTTTCTTATACAAAATTTTCCTAGAATGGTCCGTATTCGAGAAATTTGACAAAATGTAAAAAAAAATTTTTTTATAAAAATTGTTTAAATAAAAGTTGTTTGTAATATAATTCTCTATAATTTTTATCCTATACATAATTTCTCTAAAATGGACTGTATTCGAGATATTTGAGAAAATGTGTAAATTTCGAATTTTGAAGAAAACTCAAAAACGGATCAAGAAAAAAACATTTAATTTTAAACTTAAGTTTTATTTCGGCCTGACGTGAAATGATTAGATTTTGGACAAAGTCGGAACATCTGGGGGGTACTTTATGGGAGGCCTTTTTTATATTTTATGGAATATATCTGTTATTTATGTTTGGAGAAGAAAATTGTTCAAATAAAAGTTACTTCTAATATTATTATCTATAATTTTTATTTTTTGTCAAAATTTCCTGAAATGGTCCGTATTCGAGAAATTTGACAAAATGTGCAAAATTCTGATTTTTATGAAAATTGTTGAACTAAAAGTTGTTTGCGATATCGATCTCTATAATTTTTGATTATACATAATTTTTCTAAAATGGAAAAATTGTAAGAATTTAAATTTTTCAGTATTTTCGTTTTCAATGAATATCTATAGAAAAATGTTTCGAGGTAGATGTATGTGGACAATGTATATATTTAGTTTATCCTCTAAACATTTATAAAAGTGTTGCAATAGGTTGTACAAAATAAACGGGAAAAGCCTATAATAAATGGATAGGAAAGTTATGTGTTGGACACATCAGATTTTTGTAAATAATTTTTCAAATTCTAAACAAACAATTATTAGTTTGGAAATGGTGATGAAATATTGTAAGAAAGTTCAACTTTGATACCTTGTAACTTCAAAATTTGCTGAAATTTTAAAATATGGTCTTCAAAAATAAATTTCTATAGTTTTTGTTAATGTTTTTTTAAATTTTAAAGATTGTAAATTAATTAGTTTGGAAATAGTGATAAAATAAAGACAACAATGTCGATTTGGTAAAAAATCCAAGTTCAACTTTGACATGTTGTAACTTTAAAACTAATTGAAATTTCAACATGAATTAAATCATTTTTGGTACATTTTTATAATTCCCATTTGATTTGATTGCCGAAAACATCATCTAATACAACAGTATGCAGCAAACTTGCAAGCAACATTAATGTATACACAACTTAAGATAAGTGCATTTCTAATGAATGCAGATTCTTTAGGATAACCCACAGTCAGACAGCAGACAGACTGATAGGTTCTATTCGTGTTAGGTGCATGCACACCACTCGGAATAATTAATAGGTTTAGAGGGAAAATTAAACAGGATGAGATTCAAAACATTCAGTGAACACACAGCGTGTATCTGTACGGTCTGTGCATCTAAATACGTGGGAAAACGACATGGTTGATGAAATTGATTCTAATTAATTAAATATACCCTACCGACTGCTTCAGGTTGATACACCCGTTCTATATAGTGATAATTGAATTGAAACGATTTAATGTTATTTTTTATAGACCAGTATTTTAATTGCGTTAAACTAATTAGAGATCCGTCGGGGGAAATTGGACCATTTTAAATTTAAATATTTAATTAAATAAATTGTTAGTAAATAAAATAAGTAATCAGACTAAAAACTGGACTCATTGAAACACAATTAAATCTCCTTTAAGTATAGTTGGCAGAAAGTTTTAAAAATGGTACTTACTCGAAACAGAAAAAGATATAAACAAAAGTTCTTTAAAAATGTAAACATATAAATGATTGCCAAAAATTTGCAAAGTTAGTATTTGCAATAATAATATTTAAGAAAGCCTATTTTAATCAGTTTCATTTTTTTTAAATTGTTATCTAATAGAAAAAGGCTCGGTCGTCAAAGAAAAATTGTTATAGGATTAGTTTTTATTTATTTAGTAATTTATTTATTTGGGACACAAACAGGACAAACATAGAACAGTGTCCACTAAAAATATACAAAGAATGATTAATTAATCAAAAAAAAGTTTAACATTAAAACTATGCTACAAATTAAATGCAAGGTACTTAGATATCTATAACAAACAATACCAGTGAACAATTATTATATTTCTGCCTCGTCTCGTAAATAAGATATATTCTCGCCCCCTGTATATGCTTCGATTCGACCACATAGTTGAAAGCTGGAACTATTTGATATATTCCCTTCTCCACCAATCCCCTCATCTCAACACTTTGCTTCAGTCTTTGTTTATGTGACGTAAAGATCACATCTATATTTTATTTCCTAGTAAATTCAAAAATTGTAGGAAAAGTGCTAAATTTAAT